CAGGAGAGCGAAAGCAAAATCTGGGAAGCTTTCCAGGTTGTTCTTTTTGAATGAAGACCTTGGGGATGCCCACTGTTGTCTTGTACAAAAACTAATCCCGATGCAGCTTCCTTTCTATTAATCATATTGGAAGAGCTGCCAGAGAGGGACAGCTCTTAGCCAGCACCACCCCACCGTGGTTCTAAGATCCGAACTGTTTCAGCAACCTCCATGTGGAGGGGTTAAAAGCACAGTAAGAAATACTTCGTGTTCCCCTGTCCTAGTCCTTGCATTGGAAGTCTTAAGGATTTTTAAATCATAAAGCAGGAGAAAAGGAAGCACATTTGACACTTTACCCTTTACCCTACCCTGCTGAGTAATCAAAGCTGGTATTGAACAGGAAATGTAGTTTAATTTGATAGACTTCTGTTCTTTTTGGTTATTTGGTGTTAGTGAGACATCTAATATCATTTCAAAACAGTTGCAAGTGCTATGCTATAAACTTTAGTAGAACAGGCACCTGGATGGCTTTGTAAGGTCCTGAATGAGACAGTGGATTTAGGAGCCTAAAGCAGGCAATAGGCTGATTTTAGGTGTCTATATGCAAAACTGCCACCGTGGATCACCCAGCCCAGGAGACACACATCCCTTGGGAAGCAGCTGCCTACAGGGGTATGTAGGAATCATCCAGGAGCCAGCACACAGGCTTTGCCTGTGCCTATGGGCTCAGCACCCAGCACTGCTTCCTTTGCAAGATGTCCTCATGGTGGTGTCAGTTCCCATTTTTCATAGGGCAGCCTACAAGCGGGGGTGTCTCTCCTGGAGGTAGGGAAAGTGCCTTTAACACTTCCCTTGTCCCGTAGCCATAGCTTTCTTCTCTCTAAAGTGTGTGGGCCAGCAGGCTGTGGGATGAGATCTTTCTTAGCCCTCCTTTGGGGGTTTTGTCCAGTTGCAGAAAGGAACCGAACTGTCACAGGGTCCAAAGGAGAAGAAACAAATGGGCTTGACCTTGTGAAGGTGCTTAAAACAAGAAACTGGGATGGGTCAGGGCTCTGCTTCCAGGGTTGTAGCGGATGGAGGGTGTCACAGCCGTTAACATGAAGGCACTAACATCTCTTACAGATTTTGGCCTTAGGTAGATGAATCATTAGGTACCTGCATCATGCAAAACGTCCATCCCACAGTGCCCTAAGCTCCCACTGAAGTTACTGGGATCGCACTCAGCAGCATGAGGGCCAAAATACTGTAGGTGCCTCATTCTGAAAAGGAAATACATCCCTGAGGTATAGGTCAAATGACATTTATAACAACATGAATTATTTCAGAGCATTGAGCTATTGAATTCTAGGAAAGATTAGACCTGTTTGGCAATACTGTTTAGCTGCTTTTACAACAGAAATAAGCTGTTTACTTCCTGAGAGATTCATAAGGAAAAAATCCCAATCTATATCAATGAGTAAGATATTTTCCTTACCAGAGATATTGATTTAAATATTGACTTCGCTGCTGGAGGGTTATTTCACTCCATGCTGCAGATACTCATTGTCAAGTGACATGTGGTTTAGGTACTAACTAAAATGTGATTTCTGGTCCAGGAATCTTATCTGGATGATTCTGACTTTCTGCATTTGGTTTGGTCTGAAGCAGTCCTTCTCCTAAAACTCCTCGTTTTCTTTAGCATCAATGGGCTTCTCTCCATGTGAATTACTTGCAACTAAGATCAAAACAAGCAAAAGTTAAACCCTCCCCGCACACACAGCCCCTTTGTCCTATTAGTTCCTTTTCCTTTCAATCTTTCAGCAGTGGGTTTAGGCTCTGCAAGACAGAAGTTCTTTATTTAGCAACAGAAAAGGTGCCACCGCAGAACCTGTTACAGCTTGTCAGAAAACCAGCCCGAGTGTGTTCTGGGACAAGGACTGTCTTTTTATTGCTGGCTTACACAACAGCTCTCGCGTTGGCTTTGCTGACCCCGATCAGGCCTGGCGATAGTAATAATGACAACAATAGCTCATGCCACCGAGCAGCAGCCCAATGCTCGGGAGGGCTGTGACAGTTCCCATCACAGGCCACAAGTGCAAAGTACCAGTGCAGGAGGAAAGAAACCCCCCAAAGAGCAAAAATCCCAGCTGCAAGGAGTAAAAAGCTATAGCCCCCAGGTATAGTCTTGATAATTTATTTCACTGAAGCATTGTATCTAAGAAGCAGGGGTGCTACTGGAAGGTGTCCTTGCCCATGGCAGGGCTTCAGAACTGGATGAACCTTAAGGTCCCTTCCAACCCAAACCACTCTGGGGTTCTATGATATTGTCTCACTGGGACTGAAGTTCTCGCTGCTGGACAGCCAGTCCTCCCCGTGGATCCTGGAAGGTTTCCCAAAGGAAACCACTCCGGAGGGCAGCTGGGTGTGATGCTGCAGCACAGCTTGGTGGCACCAAGGTCCCAGTGGGCACAAGGTGGTGGGTAAAGACCTGACTGCTTGTGGTCCCTGCCTCTTACGCATAATCGGGATGAGATGAAAATGTGAGGCAGTGGTAACACTCATACATCTGCTCCTTGGCCTCTTTGGGAATCCCCTGCTCCCTGCAGGAGGAGTGACAAGAAAACAGTCGTTTTCAGGGGGAAATTGCATGCAAAAGGTTCCTTCTGATCTGAAATTCCTGAGGTCAGCTGCACTTTGCTGTCCCCCCAGTGCACTAGCAGCATCCCCTTTGCAGCAGAGGACCTCTGGTGCCTGCATGCAGGAAGATGGGCTTTGTGTGTAAATCTTTCTCTTGGGAGCACTGAACTTCATACCATACCTATGCATTCAAGGCTCTTGTCCCATCAGGCCAGAAAGAGGGGCAGAGACCCCCTTTTGGAGGCTATCCACAACCAAGAAGCTGGCAGAAAGGCAAACCTCAGACCCCCTTAATAGGCACTTCTCTGCCTAGCCTCTGCTAACAGGGCTCTGTGACTAGAAGCTGTTTATTTTGGAAGAAGCAGGGGGACAAAGAGGGCTTTGGGCTGCTTGCAGGTGATTTTTTTTTCCTGGAGTGAATTTACAACAAACATGAGAAGTGCAACTAGGGCACAAATTCACCTTATGTTTTACTAGCGGTTACTTCGCTTAGTTGTATCCCTTTCCATCTGCGTGCACGCAAGCAGTGTGCCTTTTTCTTTGGCCACAATGTTTTAACTGACATTTTGGGGTGAACAAGTGTGCCAAGGCTTTATTAACCCCAGCAGTGTCATTTCTCATTACAAGACTCCGATTCAGAGGAAGCAGTGCTGCTAAACCAGCTACTGAATCCCAGCAAAAATGACAGTTTTCCTCAATCAGTTCCTTTTGTGACCTTGATCTGAACCTTAATCTGTTTTAGCAAAACTCTTTTTATTAGCCATTCAGACTTAATCATACCGCTAATTTTCCTGTTTTTAAACTATCAATTTAAGGCTGCTTTTCACGTAACTAATCAAGGCTGATGTATGTTATTTTGGCTATGGTTTCTAATAATTATTCTTAAGAGTTTTCTAAGTCTGCATTTTCCATAGATAACTGTCAAAATTGCAGATAGGGTAGAATGGCTTGTTTCGGTGATAGCGCGCACACAAGTCTGCTTTCTTATCTTTAGTGAAAATAACCATTACGGGCATTGTATAGGGAATCTGAGCCTTGCCTTCTTTTCTCTCCTTACATCCGCAGTGGCTTTTCATTAGTGTTATTGTTGCAGACAATCATCATGGGAGGGAAGGGTTTTCAGGATCAGGCTCCTTTTGAGATATTCGGAATAAGAAATAGAAACATATACTTGCAGCTCTCTCACAAAGACTGTGAACTGTTGTAGCTAATGACTAGTGATTTTTCCTTGCCTATGATACTAAAGAACAGATTGTGTTACTATACTTATCTCTACCTTTACAAACAAATACACCAGGAAAATATGTCGAGCAGCAGAAACCACGCTTGTCATCAAACGCTTCGCTACCCTGACTACAGGGTTTTTGTACTTTTTGGCAAAAGCCTCAAAACACATTGTGGCTTGGTTAAGCCCGGAATTCTTTACACTGTAAAGGGAGCCTTTCTGTATCCATCATACGCATGCGGGTCTCCACCGAAGGCAGCGCTTCGCTGCTGTTGTTTGCCGTTCTTACAGCTGCCACACAGAGATCACAACCCCTCGTCCTGGGCTTTGTACCCACCAGAGGCGCTTCTGTACCCCCCCCAAACTGATCCACATCACAGCAGGGCTATGATCTTAAAAGCCTGGCACTTCGGATTAGGTTTCCGTTGAAGTTTGCAGAGTTGATCGATTCCCAGGGGCTTTGTGTGTGTGCAGCAGGGTGGTTGCATGGGATAGGATGCATCCACCCCCCCCCCCCCCCCCCCACACACACACACACCCAGTTGGAGGTGCCATTGGAGCAGCACATGGGGAGAAACTTCACAAGCATTTTCCAGCTTAAACCTCTCGCTCGGTGCCCAGTGGGACTTTGTCAAGAGATGCGCTAACGTTTCCTTAGGGAATGAAGCAGGTTTCCTAATTGCAAGTGAGCCGAGTGACAGGATTTTCTGTCTTGAAGAGAGAGGAAAGCCAGAAAGTTTTTATGTTCCTGTTGGGGTCTTTCAGTCGAAGATGCTCAGATGTCTTGGCATTGGGTTCCCATGCCAGGTGGAAGGCAATGTCTGGAAGAGGAGATGAACAAGGATTCTTCACAATCTTTTTCCCCCTAACTAAATCCTTTCTGTTGGTTAAAGTGCAATGTTTTCCGCACCAGATTGAAAGGATTGCCATGTATGGTTGTGTAAAAAGCTACAGGTTAATTGCATTATATGTATCTGTAGGAAAATGAATGCTATATGCAAAAATGGATAAAAGTGCTCCAATAGCCCATTAATTAACTCGGCCCTATTGTTAGCAGGGTTGGCATTAGAGGAAAGAAAAATGCCTTTTCAACCCGAAACCTTGCCTCTCTCCCCATTCATGCTATCTCTTCTTGTCACTTCCCATTAGCTGATCATGACATCTTATCTTTTTCCTGAAGGGTGGGCCAGAAGATTTCTTTGGAGCTCATGTAAGTGACACTCCAAGGATTGGCCAGCAGCAGGTTCAGCGGCCCCAGCCCCCGGAGCCAAGGATGTCATCCCTGTGACATGCCTGGAAACCCCAGCTCATCCCTCAACTGTCCGGTTACAGCAGCATCTCCATCATGTTGCACTTCAAGCCTGTCACTGGCATGGCTTCACGCTCCTCACCCGGGAACCCTTCCCTGGTTTTTGCTGAGGACTGTGGTTTTATTTTTAACACAGAGTCCTTCACATCGGCGGTGGTAAGGATTTCTTTGCAAGGTGGGATACTGCCAGAGGAGGGGGTGGCTGGGGATCATACCCCACACGTACACACGTGTGATGCTGAGGCAGGAGCTGTGTGTGAAAGCCACCTAAGCAGCGTTCCAAATGTATTTGGTTTTCAGTGCTTTGGAAGGGTCCTGGGCTGGTAGCTCTGGACACTACCTCTGGTCTCGGCACTTTGGGAAGCAGATTCTGGGAGAGCTCTGCTTTGCCTGAAGGTATGGGGCTGCCACCCAGTCCCTCGGAGCCCAGGATGCTCCAGTGAGGGGACACAGCCAGATTGCTCCCACAGTGTAGCCAGACAGTATGGCTCATGCTGGAGGGACATGCTGCCGGCACCGTAATTGCAGGCTCAGATTCTTGCTGTGGTATTACAGATTCCCCCAGGGAAGCGCGCAGCTATGACCATTTACATGGTGACATTGTCAGGCATGAGTCATTTTCTTCCCTTTCTCTCTCTCTGTGTCTCTGTTTCTCCTCTCACACACGCACATCAACAAATGCAAGCACAAAACAGACTGGTAAATACAATTTAAGTGATGCTTTAGTGCACTTTCAGCCCTTCTTTTTCTAGATGAATTTGATGTATTCCCCCCCTCCCCTAAAATGTAGCACAGATGAATGTTGATACAGGAATGATGACTTTTGCGTCTTCTGCTTTGTATTAGCTTCTTTTTATCGATTTACCTTTGAGAGTGCTTTAACTAAAAAATTAATCAGTAAAACTAATCCTTAAAACCCAAATCTTTGTCAATACAATAAATCAGGAATCTTGCAGAGTAACAGGGTCACTGTTTAAGAAGTTTTTCACCTGACACTCTTTAATACTCCAGTTTTGCTAAGGTTCTTGTCACCCTTTCCCTACACATCCAAATGAATGCAATGTGGATAATCTCATTGAATTGTACTGGGGACATTATCATCATTCACACAAGTAAGTACTTGTGGATTTGGCATCCTTGGCTCTGAATTCCCCCAGGAGCCAACTTTTTCATGGACGCTGGAATGATCATTTTGATGCTTTAAAAAGAAAAAGAGCATCTGCTAAAAGCAAGTTAGGAAAACCACTGCAAAGTTGTGGGGTGCCCGAATTAAGGCTGCTTTTGCAAGATAAATGTGGTGGATCATTCGTCCTGCTCATGCTGAGCAACACTGCGCAGGACATCACTGCTGAGCGTGAGCAGCACACTGTCTTAAGTGGGAATGGATTTGATCCCCCCCCCCCCCCCTTTTTGTCACTCTGTTTACAGCACAACACATGAGACAGGGTTTGTGCAACTATGCACTGTTGCCGCCTAACTGGCAGGGTGAAAAGGTAGCACTGTAAGACTCAGGTGATCCTGAGGATGATGCAGGTACAGTGAAAAGCAGGTACATTTGTATCTGAATGAAGAGTTTGGAGGCAGCGACCAGATCTGTGTAGCCAAATGTGTGTGCCAAAGACACTGCTGAGGATGTGTGACCATGGTGGTGAGGCCTCGGGTTTTGCATTTTGTTAGGTTTACATTTGTGGAGTGAGCAGAGGTTGAATAATTTATGGTGGTGACTACTTAGATACCATATGTCACGCTTCTTTTAAAGCAGGATGGGTTTTTTAATACACAAAAGGGAACAGACACTGGAGCTGAACTTTCTTCATTTTATTCAAGAAGAGAATGCTTGGAGTAAAGGCAGCTTTTCCCGTACGCTTTGGATCCGTGCTAAACTTGACTCGTCAGCATCGCTCTGATTTTGCAAGGAGAAATAAATCCTGAGTGGTTGCACAGATCACACACAAGAAGAAACAGCAAGACTTTTACACCAGTCCCAGAAAGAGACTTTAGGGTAGTTGGGAAGTGTAGTGAAAGTGTATTTCTTCTGCCCATTGTTTGAAAATACATCTTTAAATAGATAAGTGCTCAGTTCCCATCTGACAGTATACAGATGGTAGTCTTGATGTGACAGGCAGGTTTTTGGTGCTGTTGTGCATTGGAAATACTCTACTGTGTGTTTTATTTTGCTGCGAGAGGAAGGAAATCCTCGTGCACTAGGAGTTCACATGTCCCTTTAAGTCTTAAAATATGTTAATTTTACATGCCAAAGTCTTAAGAAGTGTTTGACTGCCCGTGGCTTTTGTGTGCATCTCCAGATGGCAGATGCCATTTTGTGTTTCACATTAATTGAGTAAATTTCCTTGCTCTTTGTACATATTGCAGAGGAAGCCATTCTCTGCTTTGAATAGGACAGAACAGCTCTTTGGCATCAAACCCTTCTGGTCTGGTGGTACTAAAACTGTTTTAAGGTGGAATTCTGTGAACAAGCTGTTGGCAATGCAGATTTTCTCTATTGTAGGTGGAAGTCAGACGTTTAACAGCTATCTTAGAAATATCTTGAGGGTTGTTCCTGGTGGATTGTGAAATAAACCCATTAGGATAACCTGGAGGCTGAAGACATAATAAGTTATGCTTTTTCAGTGTTCATTCAACTAAAGGGAAAAATAACTCTTTAATCTTGGTGGGCACCGTTTTTCATTCATTTTCCTGCTGGTTTTGTTTTTCCCCTCTCATTTTGTAGATATTAAGGAAAAAAAAAGGAAATCTCAAAACTTCACTTTGTGCGAACATTAGTGAAGTTGTAGAAATTTGCACTGCTGCTTTTGGGGGCACAAGCAGCAAACGAGGGTGTGATGGGGCCGCCACAAGTAATACCTGAGGTGCTCCCATATGGAGGTGAGAGTATTCATAAAAGTTAGGTGCTGGTGATAAGGGGAATTTATGCACAGCAATGCTTTAGAAACGGCTTCATGTGTTTTTACACCAAGGTAGAATGAGTCCAGCGATCGGATTTTAAATCACCCTTTTTAATGTTTTCTGAATGCTCACTCTTCAAAACTCCCTGCCGATGGGAGGCAAAGCAGATATCCTGCCTGTTTGAAAAAGAATATAGAAGTTACTGCTCATCAAAGGCACCAAGATTATATGCCATGTTATTAATCAGATTTTTATCATGGTAAGTGGTGTCCAGATATAGTTGAAGTGGGCAGTGTACATAATAACATAATTATGGGTGTTACAGTGACGTAACAGCAGCAGGAGCCCGGCTCCTGACTCCTTTGTTTTCCATTCACACCCACCATGATCTACTGCTATATTTAGTTGTTTTTCACAGTGCTACCTAATACTGTCATCCCAAGTGTTGTTTTGTGGGTTTTTTTTAAGGAAAAAAATAAAGATAAGACTGCATTGATTTTCCATGGAAGCCCGAATGCTGGAATCTGTTCTTGCAGATGATAAATGGGGGGGGGGGGGTATTTTTGTTATTTTGGGGGGGGGGGAGGGAAGGTGGTTATATTATTGTCATGTTCTGTGTGTGAAATGCAATTGGAGTCGGGGCAGAGCGGCAGCTGGTGGAATCCATCCCAGTTCCACTGCCTCCTGTAGTCCGGGACTATCCGTGTCTGCTGAGGAGCTGCTCCAGACAATTGAAGGCAAGCTCGTGGAGCATGAAAAGAACTGAGATTATTATATAACTAAGTGGTGTTTGGGGATTCCAATAAAGGAAGTTTTGACTGCTGAATTGCTGCACTTCGGCAGTTCTCAGTCTATCATTTTTGGCACAGCTTCTTTGCGCGGGCTTGCAGTTCCAGAGGCACCTGAAAAACACCCGTGTGCTTCTCAGGTAGCACTGGGATGATGTAGGGCAGCAAAGCTCAGACCCCAGGAGATGTTTGCAGCAGGAGGTGTTCCATTGCGCTTGCACCCCATCATAAGCTAACTTCCCATGCCCAGAAGTTAGGCATTGCGAGTGCCCCAGAGGAAAAGATCTCATTTTCAATCCAGAGCTTTTGTGGTGAGATATACCTGCTGTGGTGAGCTAATTATTGGTATATGGGGCTGTGTGACACCTGTGGGCATTGTGCTGTGGCCCACAACAAGAGAAAGAAGAGATGTAATGCCTCATGGAGCACTCTTTTTTTCCGTCTGTGTTGTTGTTATCACAGAACTGGCTCCTGAATCAAGGCAAAGTCTTTGTCAAACACCACCAAATCAAGTACACCGTGAGTGAAGCTTGCAATGCGAACATCAGAAATGTCTTCTGTGTTTAGGAGCATAGCAAAGTGTGATGCTGCTGTCAAGAAAAAAGCCCTCTCAGGAGTCCCAGACTAGATGAAGACACAAGCCCAAGAGCCCCGGAAGGATGTTGTTTGCCAGCTCTACAATAGGTTTATTCAGCAGGAGTCAGCAGGTTTGCCTGTGTTCCTATGGTCAAAGCCTCATTCATTCTGTGCAGCATAGGTCAGCTCTGGTGCAACTATTGATATCTGTGGAGCACTTGCCCTGCTGCTGTGATTTAAAGAAAATCAGTGTTGTAGTTACAAAGCATTAGTGACTCCTCTGTGTTGTATTTGGTGTAACATTGCAGCTCCCTCTCTCTTTAGTGGAGTACGCATGCTACGTCTCACCCAAAGCAGTGTGAACAAAGATGGAGAGGGGGTCCGTATAGGAAGAGCTTTCAGAAATTGCAACCCTCCTCCCATGACCTCTTAAAAAGTATTTTAACAGCAGACAAACCAGCCTGCTCTCCTCGGTCTCAGCCTCATTCTTTTCATACATTCAATGAGGCTGCCCTAAGGATCCGGGTCATTCCATATTTATTTGGATTTTAAATGACTCCAGAACAAATAAAATGCTATTCTTGCCTTCCCCTGGACCTCTTTTGATCACCTCAGCTCTGTGTAGGAAAGTGGCTGCAGTGTATCACCAAGTCACTGGGTACTTGGGTGTGTTTTGGTCTGTTGCAGTTTTTGAGAGAGAGATGCACGATGCCATGCTGAGGCTGCCAAGGTGCAAGACAAGAGGATCACCTGTAGCCAGCCACATAGAAGGCAACGAATACATCGAATAACACTAGCGCAGACAACTGATCTTTGTCTACTGCCAAGATAAGCACTTCTGCTAATGAGATCAATGCAGCCTTCCGTATCTAATAAGGCTTATGC